GAAGTAGTCGGGGTCGTGGATTTGGCGCAGCGACAGGAACGTTCCCAAATCTGGTCAGCTTTCTGACAGTGACACCAGGGAAACCAGGTGGAAGCAGCTTGCTGACACACAGTTTCAGCCACTTGATGTCATCCAAGATGCGTTCCCTTGGGAGAGCGGCCGCAGATTCAGTAACGTTACGGAATATAACGCTACTATCCGTGAAAGAGTCGGCACGACGGGGAGTGTTTACCCCACGTGCCTTGGAGTCGACACCTATGCCAGCTGTTTTCACCACTGGCGGTGGGACTATTCCTGTCTTCACAAACGACGCCGAAGCAACGGTAGCGTAGGTTTTCCGCTCTATTGCCGGCGTCTTACTAGTTTCTGGGTCTTCAAGCCCCTTCAAAGTTTGACGAGCAGATCTAGCCCGCTTCTTCTTCTGGTTCACTGGAGCAGGGGCCGTTGCCTTTGTATCGCATTGAGCAGTTGCCAGCACTTCGTCAGAACGTGCTGGTTCACTGGCGGCCGAGACGGTCAGCATCTTCGGAAAGTTCTGAGTACAATCGTCAGACGACTTTACGACTGTCAAAGATGGACTCTTTTTGGATGCCGTGGCAACTAATTCTCTGGGTTTAGCAGAGAGCTTTTGGTATTTCCGCACCCTATTTTGCTTCACTTTGATCGGCTCATGAGGACAGCCAGTAATGCTACCTTGACAGGCCGGTAGGATGTGCGACTTTATGCCCGAGCGACAGACTCCAGTGGATGGATCGTCAGCAATGTTGCCGTCTATTGCAGTGTCTCCAAACGAAATATTCAGGGATTTTAAAATCAAATCCATTTTCGTATCGAGCGTCGCAAAAGAGGTGAGTTTAGCTATCACCTCCTCAACATTTGCCAATCTTGAGACCAGCGCAGAAAGTTTAGCACCGATGACAGCCGGGCGCGTCGATCTTTGAGCGCAGCATTCAGCACAGCTGAAAAGAAAGTGGACGCTTGATGATAGCATTTTGTACTGGTCAGCTTGTAGGCCGGTACAGCTTTCGTGATACCAGCGGCAGCAGACGTCACATTGCATACCGCGAGATACATCTGCTACTGGCTCTGAACCGATAACCAGTCCGCAAGCTGCAGTAGACTCATCAAAAGAGGACCAAATAGGTCCATCCATCTCGGAACATTAGAACATTGTATTTAATGGGAATAAAAGCTCGAGTTTTACATGACCCATAGGGTAAAGAGTTTGGGTCGGGTCTAATGAAAGGCCAAGCAACCTTATAACGGATTGGACTCGCGTGTTAGCCGTATCTTCATCGGGCTTATGTGGCATTTAAACAGAATGCACGCCGGCTCAAAGCGAGACATCCCACCACGCCCTCCGAAACGGCTTTGGAAAGGAAGTAGGTAGAAGAAAAAAAGAAAGAAATTCCATCCAGTAGAATGTAGTTAAATTAGGGAATATCGCGGTGTAACTCGGCCAGATGACAGTCCAAGCAGGTCTTAAAGTCCGCTACAGTGGGTGCCAAGACTAAATCGGCAGGCAGAGCATTCCACGGTCGGCAGATTTGCAAAGCGAAGTAATGTCGTCTGCAGTTCAGCCGACTATGCTGATGTGTGAGCCTCAGTGGGTGGCCACGTAGGTGGGAGCCCGATTGGTGCAGTGTGAGTAAGTGGCGACAGGGATGTCCAGGGTTGGATAAGATCATGAATACGAGGATCAGGTCACCCCGTAGACGTCGGTACTTAAGCGAGTAGAGGCCCAGGCACTGAAGTCGTTGTGGATAATCTAAGTGCTTGAGACCTCGGACCAGTTTGGTTGCTCGACGTTGTGGGACTTCGAGTATGCGTTGGTCCTTCAACAACCAAGGGCTCCAAGCCTGAATAGCGAACTCCAAGTGGGGTCGAAGAAAAGTGTCAAGGAGGAGGCGGAAATTGCTGGGGTCAATTTGACCGAAGGCTCGTTTCAGCAATCCCATCATGCGGTTAGCAGCAGCAGCAGCTACTTTCCGGCAGGAAGCGGATACGGAAAGACTCGTCTGGGTAATGATACCCAAGTCTCTTTCGGCTGAAGAGATCTGAAGGATAGACGCTCCCAGATAATATATAGGAGAAAAAGCGGAAGGGCGGGTAGAAAGGACGCGACACTTCGAAGCGTTAAATGGAAGGTTATTTTCTATGGACCACTGATGTAGACGGTCGAGGTCCGTCTGAAGTGCGTGGGCATCGTCCGGAAGGTTAATTGTGCGCCACAGCTTCGCATCATCCGAGTATAGTAGCAGCGAAGACTCCACTTGCTGTGTGACATCGTCAATGAAGGCTAGAAAGAGGTGCGGTCCGAGAACAGCGAGATAGCCATGTTCATGTGGAAAACAGAGTAGAATTACAACACGTATCCAACAGGGAAACGACCGCAATAAAAAGGCAAAAACAGGGTACAAAAGGGATTAAAACTGGTCCTGATTCAATTCATCCGAAGCTGTTGCATGAATTGGCCACTGAGCTGAGTGGTCCGCTCACATGCGTGTATTTTCAATATCGCTGGACAGCTGCAGCCTACCTTCGGAATGGAAGGAGGCAATCATCTGTCCGATTTTTAAGGGCGGTGACAGCGCTCTACCCGCGAACTACCGGCCTGTCAGTTTGACAAGCGTAGTAGTCAAGTTGTTCGAGAAGCTGATAAGGGATTCAGTGGAGAACCACCTGAATAGATTCAACCTTCTCAGTGTTGCACAATATGGATTCCGCAAGGGATTTTCATGTCAGACTAATTTACTTGTAGCTCGTGAAAGCTGGGCCGAAGCGATAGACAGTGGCCACGCTGTAGACGTGCTATTCGTAGACTTTTCGAAAGCTTCTGACACTGTTCCTCATCTTCGACTCTTACTAAAGTTGATCTCTTACGGTATATCTGGTCGCGCCCTTCAATGGGTGTCTGCCTTCCTTGAGGGGAGGGAACAGTGCGTATGGGTGGGGCGTAGCCTTCCGCTCAGGCAAGCTATCCTTAGTGGCGTTCCGCAGGGCTCGGTATTGGGGCCATCGTTGTTCGCGATCTACGTAAATGACTTTCCGGGAGAGCTAGGGGTGTCATTATTAATGTTTGCTGACGACCTTAAGCTCTGGAATATTGTGGATATCCCGGGGGGTCCTGAGGCAATTCAGCGTGCCTTGGATAGGCTCTGGGAGTGGTCTATCTTATGGTTGATGCCCATAAATAGGGCCAAGTGCTCTGTTCTCCGAATCGGAGCTGCTAATCCTCCCACCCGATATGTTGTCGGCCGTGGTGAACTCCCTGTTGTCACTCAGCAGGTTGATTTAGGAGTCGTACACGCATCAGCACTTCATTCTGGCGACAGTTAGAAGAAGGCTGCTTGTCTGGGATTTCGTATGATGTGGTTTATCCGCCGCTCTTTCGGAATCTTAACGGCCAATTTGTTTGTGAAGCTATTCTCGGTATTCGTCCGACCCAACCTGGAATATTGTATCCCCGCTTATCCACCATGTCTTAACCGAGACAAAATGGACTTGGAGAGGGTGTTACGAGTGGGCACTCGGTTAGTGCAGGGTCTACAGGGACAGAGGTATCCTGAACGCTTGCTCAGTTTGGGAATATACTCAATGCACTACTGAAGGATAAGAGGGGACCTGATTCTCACTTATCGCATTTTGACGGGTAAGATTGGCCCGGACTTGTCAGGGCTATTTAGTCCCGCTACGTTACCTAGTCTTCGCGGTCACCCAATGAAACTGCATAAACCACGGTCTGATAGGATTAGGACGGAAACTCGTCTATCGCGCCGAGTTATAGATCGCTGGAATTCGCTTCCAGATCACGTGGTTAGGGAACCTACGGTTAAGGGTTTTGCGCGCCAGCTCGATGCTCTCGGGTGGCAACAGCAAACCTTTCCTTTTTCCTAGCTGACTCACCTTCACTTTTCAGTACTTTTTAATGACTCAAATATCCTGGTATTCCACTTGCTTAGCTCATTACACTTCCTCTTTTGCATTCTGAGTTTACTTTTTTCTCTTTCTTACTTCACGTAACCGACCCAGCAGAGACTGCTAGGGCAGGATACGTGGGCATTAATTGGTTGGACAGGGCGTGATGCGGTCTTTGTTTTAGGTCCATCAGTATTTCAAAGTTCGCCAACTCCTGGTTCAACGACCCGCCGAAGAAGGAACACTCACGGGATAATCCTATCGTTCCAGTCCCGCTTGAACTTGAAAACCGGAAAAATTACCAGTAAGCGCCAAAGGCGCTTTGGCCAGTACCACTTTAATCGATCCAAGATACCTTGGATCAGAGGAAATTTGACAATAGTGAAATTTCGTTTCAAGTGTTCATTCAAACATTGTTTTCCACGTTATTTCAGCTGAAAATCTCGATCAGTATGGAGAGGGGGGGGGGCTAATTTTCAACATGAAAAATCGGCAAACAGGGACTTTGAGTTCCGGTACACCAGGCTAACTGGTGATGGTTTCATAACTGGATTTGAAAGAGATGTGTATAGGTCGCGTTGTGCCTAAGTATGTACAAAAAATAGTAGTTGGTAAGATATATTAGTTGTGAATTTCGCTTTCATGGCGATTTTTAAATATAAAAAATACTATAAGCAGACAAGAGATACGTATACCCCTCACCCAGGCAATAACTTATTGCAAGCATAAACTTTACATACATAAAACAATTGTATTCACCCTTAATTGCTTCATAAAACAGCCGTTTTCTCAACACATTTATTTAGCGGTTGCCTGCTTTCCTTTATGTCGTGAAGTTCAACTACGCCTGCAGTCATCACTTTAATTTATCATAACGGTTTTCACGAAGCCAATCTATATGGCATTATGTTCTATTTCCCTGCACCTTAATACCGCCAAAATTAAAAATATACTCTGCAGTCACTCAAACAAACTTAGATGTTACCGAGGACAACGGTAGCGAAACCCTTTCCCGCCATGACAAAAATTATCCCTTCCCCAGTATGGCACGCTAAAAAATCGAGTTACTGCGTAGTACTCACAGGTGATGCTTTTATAACTGGATTTGAAGATGTGTATATGTCGCTTTGTGGTTAAGTATGTACAAAAATGGTAGTTGGTAAGATTCATTAGTTTTATATTTCGCTTTCCTTCACTGCGATTTCAAAAATTGGCATTCATTGGAATTCATTGGAGTGGTAGAGAGCAGATAGGAAATCCTGTGTCAGCTCCATCACATCCCATTCCGAGCAAGGATTGTGCGACATGCTGCGAGGCGGTATTCCGCAAGGGACTATTACGGTCGCATCGAAAACAGCAGGATCCTTGCATACTCAGCAGATAGGAGTCTAACAGTTTCTTAAAACTTTCCTCACATTGTGCACTAACGACCAGTTCAGGCAAGCTATTCCAGTCCTTTAACACTCGAGTTGATAGGGTGAAATCTGAATGAATCCGGACCCTCCTCGGCTTAAACAGTTTCTAAGAGTGACCCCGTGTCGAGCTATCAGCGTAGAGCTGGAAGAACTCTTGCAGTTCACTCCCCATCTTTCCTCGCAATATCAGTCTGGTGTAAATCAGATCACCCCGACCTCGACGGTTGTCCAAGGAAAACATGTTTTTCTGTCGAGGACGCTGTGTGTAAGGCAGGTCACGGAGCGCTGAGATGGATTTCGAGCCTCGTCGCTGAACTCTTTCAATCAAAACGCGTTCAGTCTTTGTAAAAGGGTATGCAGCATGCAAACCGTACTCGAGGATAGGGCGCACATGGGAAGATAAAAGAAGTCTGAAGACCTCTGGAGTCATTCAGAATAACGATCTCCTAACTCACAGAACATCCTATTCGCATCCGCTATCTTCCTCATGGTGTCCTCGGTGGTACGCAAATCGGGATATACGAGTATACCAAGGTCTTTCTCATAGGCAGCATTCCTGATCAAGAAACCACCAATGTGATAGGCGCCAAATGGGTCAGCAGAGCCGATCGGCAGGACAGAGCACTTCTCACGATTGATGGATAAACGCCATTCCGAAGACCAGCTATGAAGCAGGTCTAGCTTCGCTTGCAGTCGGTCAGCGGCTTCAGATGTTTGTACCTCCATCCATTTCTTCAGGTCATCGGCATAAAGCAGACAGTCGGTCTGGAGTACAGATCGTAGGTCATTATTGTAGACTTTAAACAGCTCGGGGCCAAGGACAGAGCCTTGTGGAACCCCACTGGTCATGGGGACGGAAGCAGAGTAGACCTCATTTACCTTTACTCGCATGCTAGGGCCATCCAGAAAATCAATGATCCATGAATCTCTCCAGAAACACCAATACTCCGAAGTTTAAACAGAAGCCGTTCGTGTGGTACTGTATCAAATGCCTTCTTGAAGTCGACGAAGACAACGTCTAAGCGAGTTCCGGCATCTAATGATCTGGCCCACCTCTCTCTGGCAACGAGCAGGTTGGAAACACATGAGCGAGCTCGCCTGAAGCCATGCTGCGCAGAGGAAATGACATTCAAGTCGGCAAGGTGACTCTGAAGGGCTCGCTTGAGAATTCGTTCCATGACTTTACAAACTATAGAGGTTAAGCAAATTGGTCGATAGTTCCCGGGGTCCTGACGATTTCCACCTTTATATATGGGCTTGACGGTGCCCAGTTTCCAAGCAAGCGGGAGACGCCCCGCATCAAGAGACCGCTGAAAAATTTGGCAAACAGGTACAGCGATGTACTCAGCTAGGGTTCTAAGGAACAAAGGGTGTAGCCCATCAGGACTTGGTGATGAGTTCGGATTTAGCTAGGAAAGAAGCTTGGCAATCAATTCGGGGCTGATTTCTAAGCGTTCTAAAGTACAAGAAGGCGTAGTCGCTAAATCACAGGTAAACGGTGGCTCAGTCGAGAAGACTGTGGAATGCTGCAGGGCCAAGAGTCCGGCTTTTGCATTATCATCATGAAGAGTAGTATCATTTTCTTTGGAATACAACTCAGGCATTCCATTGCAAGCTTTCGTACGTCTCCGCAGATAGGAGAACAGTAATTTGGGAGCGGTGGAAGATTCCTCAGCCAAGCGGCGCTCGTACTGTTGTCGCTTCTCTCGCTTTTTGAATGTGCAGATATTCCTGACCGCTTTGTAATCAAGGTAGTCCAGAGGCGATTGTGTAGTCTTGAACTTATCCCACAATTTGCGTCGACGGCTCATAAGGGATTTTAACTCTCGATCAATCCAGGGTGGGCCATTGGAAAAGCGTTTCCCTTTGCAGTGTGGAACGACCTGAGTTATGAGGGACGAGAACTTAGAGTACAAGAAGGTCCAAGCGTCAGCAACATCTAAGTGCTGAGGGATACCCCAGTCCATAACGCCGGCAGCAGTTTTCAAACGGAGTGGATCAGCACGCCAGAAGTTCCGACGGCATACTCCCTGATCGTGAATGGTAAGACGCCGCATCCAACAAAGGGAAACTACGCAGTGGTCACTTCTCCCAAATGGTCGGAGAACAGTTAAGTTGGAAACATCCGACTGCGTCGGTGTGAGCACGAGGTCGAGAATGTGTGGCGATTGACCTGGACACATTCTGGTGGGCGTTATAACATGTTTAAACAGATGGCATGCAAGCACGGTTTCGAGGAAGACAGCATCAAAGGAGTTCGGGGGAAGATTGCAATGGAGTAAATCCCAGTCAATACTAGCAGTATTAAAGTCGAAAAGCACGGTAAGAAGACGAAAACTGGTAGATGCATGCATTTCGTATTGTCTCCTCAGTACCATTAACAATAACCGGTATGCAACTATATACTTAAATATGTGTGTGACCGAATAAGCATAAGGTGAAAAATGAATGACGGAAGTATTAAAGTCTCCCAATATCAGACAATACTTGCCTCTACCGTGCATACTAATAGAGTCCAGCAAGCTAGCTCCAGAAGCCAAGGGGCTCTGTAAACGACTCCAACTATAAGAGACTTGCATCCATCATGTATCCGACACCAAAGAAGTTCACACCCATCGTCATCGTCGCGTATGGCCTCAACCAGATGACCCCTGAGGTCCTCTTTCCAGTAAAGAATCACACCACCTCCGGACCTATTTCGAGAGCGATCCGCTCGAGCTAGATTATACCCCGGAATATGCACCTCTGAGTCGAGGATGTCCGAAAACAACCAAGTCTCTGTGAAAGCCATAAGATCTGGGTGATTTTCATAGGCAAAGTTATGAATTTCATCAAGTTTGTTTCGTAGGCTACGTAGATTAGCAGATCTCACCCTCAAACTATTCTTCGGTCTTACCGCCCGGGAGCGACAAATATTGGCCTCCAGCGAATTCTCGAAGCTTTTTGAACTACACGAAAATCCACAATGTGGTGGTTCATCTCACCATTTTCCCGGCGTTTTCGTAGTTCTTCAACAGCTTTCTTCATTCGGATCCCATCCTCCGGACAGAGGTCCCGCAAAACATAAAAGGTTTCTCCCCTGAGACGTGGGGTCCGTCTGAGAATGCGGCGACACTCATCCTCACTCTGACAGACAATCTTGAGGGGACGAACTTTAGAAGAATCGTCTTGCTTTCTTCCGAGACGAAAAGCAGAGACAATATTGATCCCTTGTTCACCTTCATCAAAAAGAAGGGAGACCATTCGCCGCAGAAACGCTTAGTCGTCCAGGATCCTTTCGGCCAGAGAAGCCTTGTTGGCTTCAGGAGCATTCATGATGATCAAACAACGGTCAAGAGGATGCGGTTTATTGTATTCAGTGGGTTGGGACATGGGCGGCATGCTGTTCTTGAGAAAGTTTTCCAACTAGCTTACTCTATCGAGGAACAGCTTTAGTTCGGAAGACTTCTTGGGTTTAGTCGTAGAATCACTCTTGGTTTTCTTCGCTCGCAGAGTTGCGCATGTACTAGCCGATGCTTGTTCTACATTCTCACTCACTACTGCCGCATATGTATTTCTCTTGGACTCATGGCTGCTGTTACGGCAGAGAGTATGAGGCTAATCGTATCACCTAACTAACGCACGGTCTGGGCAGTTAAAATGCAGGGCAGTGGGGGGAATGAGTATACTGAATAACCGTGGTTCTACAATAGCAGTAATAAACAAAAAAGGAATTTAATTAACTCACGAATAGGTAATGCGACTCGCTAATTCGGCCAGCAATTATTCCACCTCAGCAGTTAAGTCTGCGCAAATGGCGAATAGTCCGTAAAATTGGCACAGTAAAACAAATTACAACCGATGAGACGCAAACCGTAAGTTCACAACAATTAAGCAAAGAAAAAGAAAGATAATAAATGTAGAAAAATTGCAGGGTTTTATCAGTTTGTTAAAGCCGAACATTTGTGCATGAACTGGTGAACTCGAGTACCACACCGTCAACGGAAAAAATATAAAGAAATTGAACTACTGGTAAATGTGCAGTAGTATAGTTCAGAATCCTGAATTTAGAATGCACACTCCCCCAGCGTCTTTGGCCTCCTCGCTGAATTCTTCGTCCAAAGTCTCTAATAGACACACTTGTCGTACGTCTCTCCGTAATGTTCCTTCGTTTGTACGTATCAGAACATCCCGGACCAGTCCATCGCGCCCAGTCTTCGCTTCTTCTATTATGCCCTTTGGCCACAGACCTCTTGGCGTGCGTTATTTCTATGTGTACCGCTCTTACTGATAGGCAAGTAAATATACAACCGTACCGTTTCCCCGTTTGAACTCCATCACACACCCGTAATCCGCGAGAGGCTATGTCGGCTGGATTTGCAATGTTTCGACGTATCTCCACTGCCTCGGGTCGGAGAACTGATGTATCTCGGACAGTCTGTTTGCGATGAACGTTGTAAATGTCTTGGTCGTGCACCGGATCAACTGCAGCACCACCATCGAGTCAGTCCAAAATGTCGGAGGTTTGTCTAGCTGCAACTCCTCAACTGCTTGAATGGCTAACCGGACGGTAAGGACCGCGGCGGTTAATTCTAGACGCGGTATTGTAACTGCTCTTATCGGCGATACACGCGACTTTCCCATAATGAGTGTAGACCGAATCTGATTATTTCGGCCAACAATCCTGACGTAAACTGCCGCTCCGTATCCATGTTC